TAGTTAGTTAGTTAGTTAGTTAGTTAGTAGTAGTAGTTAGTTAGTTAGTTAGTTAGTTAGTTAGTTAGTTAGTTAGTTAGTTAGTTAGTTAGTTAGTTAGTTAGTTAGTTAGTTAGTTAGTTAGTTAGTTAGTTAGTTAGTTAGTTAGTTAGTTAGTTAGTTAGTTAGTTAGTTAGTTAGTTAGTTAGTTAGTTAGTTAGTTAGTTAGTTAGTTAGTTAGTTAGTTAGTTAGTTAGTTAGTTAGTAGTTAGTTAGTTGAGTTAGTTAGTTAGTTAGTTAGTTAGTTAGTTAGTTAGTTAGTTAGTTAGTTAGTTAGTTAGTTAGTTAGTTAGTTAGTTAGTTAGTTAGTTAGTTAGTTAGTGTAGTTAAGTTAGTTAGTTTAGTTAGTAGTTAGTTAGTTAGTTAGGTTAGTTAGTTTAGTTAGTTAGTTAGTTAGTTAGTTAGTTAGTTAGTTAGTTAGTTAGTTAGTTAGGTAGTTAGTTAGTTAGTTAGTTAGTTAGTTAGTTAGTTAGTTAGTTAGTTAGTTAGTTAGTTAGTTAGTTAGTTAGTTAGTTAGTTAGTTAGTTAGTTAGTTAGTTAGTTAGTTAGTTAGTTAGTTAGTTAGTTAGTTAGTTAGTAGTTAGTAGTTAGTTATTAGTTAGTTAGTTAGTTAGTTAGTTAGTTAGTAGTTAGTTAGTTAGTTAGTTAGTTAGTTAGTTAGTTAGTTCGTTTAGTTAGTTAGTTAGTTAGTTTAGTTAGTTAGTTAGTTAGTTAGTTAGTTAGTTAGTTAGTTAGTTAGTTAGTAGTTAGTTAGTTAGTTAGTTAGTTAGTTAGTTAGTTAGTTAGTTAGTTAGTTAGTTAGTTAGTTAGTTAGTTAGTTAGTTAGTTAGTTAGTTAGTTAGTTAGTTAGTTAGTTAGTTAGTTAGTTAGTAGTTAGTTAGTTAGTTAGTTAGTTAGTTAGTTAGTTAGTTAGTTAGTAGTTAGTTAGTTAGTTAGTTAGTTAGTTAGTTAGTTAGTTAGTTAGTTAGTTAGTTAGTTAGTTAGTTAGTTAGTTAGTTAGTTAGTTAGTTAGTTAGTTAGTTAGTTAGTTAGTTAGTTAGTTAGTTAGTTAGTTAGTTAGTTAGTTAGTTAGTTAGTTAGTTAGTTAGTTAGTTAGTTAGTTAGTTAGTTAGTAGTTAGTTAGTTAGTTAGTTAGTTAGTTAGTTAGTTAGTTAGTTAGTTAGTTAGTTAGTTAGTTAGTTAGTTAGTTAGTTAGTTAGTTAGTTAGTTAGTTAGTTAGTTAGTTAGTTAGTTAGTTAGTTAGTTAGTTAGTTAGTTAGTTAGTAGTTAGTTAGTTAGTTAGTTAGTTAGTAGTAGTTAGTTAGTTAGTTAGTTAGTTAGTTAGTTAGTTAGTTAGTTAGTTAGTTAGTTAGTTAGTTAGTTAGTTAGTTAGTTAGTTAGTTAGTAGTTAGTTAGTTAGTTAGTAGTTAGTTAGTTAGTTAGTTAGTTAGTTAGTTAGTAGTTAGTTAGTTAGTTAGTAGTTAGTTAGTTAGTAGTTTAGTTAGTTAGTTAGTTAGTTAGTTAGTTAGTTAGTTAGTTAGTTAGTTAGTTAGTTAGTTAGTTAGTTAGTTAGTTAGTTAGTTAGTTAGTTAGTTAGTTAGTTAGTTAGTTAGTATTAGTTAGTTAGTTAGTTAGTTAGTTAGTTAGTTAGTAGTTAGTTAGTCGTTAGTTAGTAGTTAGTAGTTAGTTAGTTAGTTAGTTAGTAGTTAGTTAGTTAGTTAGTTAGTTAGTTAGTTAGTTAGTTAGTTAGTTAGTTAGTTAGTTAGTTAGTTAGTTAGTTAGTTAGTTAGTTAGTAGTTAGTTAGTAGTTAGTTAGTTAGTTAGTTAGTTAGTTAGTTAGTAGTTAGTTAGTTAGTTAGTTAGTTAGTTAGTTAGTTAGTTAGTTAGTTAGTTAGTTAGTTAGTTAGTTACTTAATAATCTCGACTGCGGAAAAATCATTAATTACTAATATATTCCACTCTACAGCCTCGACTACAATCCATTATATTGGCTTGCAAATGTATAGTCTAAAGTCTGGACTATAGCTTACTCACCAGGTCCTATTATAGTGCAGTCCATAAGCCGACTATTGATGTCGGATGTAATCTGGACTAAGGTACAATCTTAAATTTCAACTATATTCTCCAGTCAATCCCAAAGTGTGCATTTCTCTATCACACATTTATTCCTCTGAAGTTGTAGACATTAACCAACAATTAAAAAAACAATTGAAATATACATACATATGTATATTCAACACTTTTAAAGAGTTTACGTCTTAAACCAATATTTCACGCAACAAAGTGCCAAAACTGTCACATTAATACGAGTCGCCTAAGATCAAGCCACTTGAAGAGATTTTTAAATATTCCTATGAAGTAACACTATACATAAATACTTACTAATTTTTATTTTTTACTCCTTGGACCCCATAATTAAATTTTATTTCCACTCATATTTTTATTGTTTTTTCAATAACAATTCTCAAATGTATTTGAACTTTGCTAAAAATCCAAACTAAACATTTTTTTAAAACCATAAAAATATAACATTTTTAAACAATCATTACACTTGTAGTGGATATACGGGGATGGAAAAGTGAAATTTGGAAAATATTACTAGACTTTTTCAGAAAGATTTGAAATGAAATTGGACTTCAAGGATTTCAAATATAAAAAAAAATTGTATTAAATTTCATTATTTCTTTGCTATTTTTAAATAAAAATTTTGGAAAAATGTTCTTACTATTGAATTATCTATCCCTGCTATTTCAGTCTTTAGTGAGTTTATGTTTATGCAAGAGAGTTAATGAGTATTATTTTGTATATTTCCTTTAAAAATTTAATTGCCCATAATACAAATATTGTTTATGCATTCATGCTCTCTTTTTTAATAATACTGCAAAGATTTATTTTATTTGTTTTTATTTTGATCGATACCCTACATAACGAATACTATATATTCTAGAAACTTTAGCAACTTATCGAGAAACTCGCTCTCATTTAATGAACTGATGTACAGATGTCTGTCCTTCCGTACAATTTTATTTCAGAAACCATTAAAAGTTTTTAAAAGCTTTCTTTAAGAAAGTTCCTTATTTACCCTTTGACCCCAAAGTTTCGAAGCTATGATACTTCTCTATTAAGATATAAAACTAATAATTTTCATTTTATGTTTCATAATGAATTTTTAAATTTTGAAAAATTAAAAAAAAAAACTGATGTAAGGTATTAACGAGTCGTCCTTGCCCTACAATACGTTCTTAATTTTGTTTTCCTTATTATGGGTGCTGTAGTTCAGTTGGCATTGGGGAATGTAAACAAAACCTAATGCGTGTAAAACACATCACAACACAAAGGAACTTATTTGATAAATATTTTACAGTTGAGAGCAAAAATTTTCAGACGATTTTAAATTTGATGGCATGACATTCATCCATAGTTTATTTTTCTATAATCTATAGCCTAGTCAAAAGTCTAGACTATACACTAGACTATAGTATAGTCTAAATCTAGTCTAGTCTATAGTATAGTATATAGTCCAGTCTATAGTCTAGTGTATAGTCTAGTCTATAGTCTAGTCTATAGTCTAGTCTATAGTCTAGTCTATAGTCTAGTCTATAGTCTAGTCTATAGTCTAGTCTATAGTCTAGTCTATAGTATAGTCTATAGTCTAGTCTATAGTCTAGACTATAGACTAGACTATAGGCTAGTCTATAGTCTAGTCTATAGTCTAGTCTATAGTCTAGTCTATAGTCTAGTCTATAGTCTAGTCTATAGTCTAGTCTATAGTCTAGTCTATAGTCTAGTCTAGTCTAGTCTATGTCTAGTCTATAGTCTAGTCTATAGTCTAGTCTATATTCTAGTCTATAGTCTAGTCTATAGTCTAGTCTATAGTCTAGTCTATAGTCTAGTCTATAGTCTAGTCTATAGTATAGTCTATAGTCTAGTCTATAGTCTAGTCTATAGTCTAGTCTATAGTCTAGTCTATAGTCTAGTCTATAGTCTAGTCTATAGTCTAGTCTATAGTCTAATCTATAGTCTAGTCTATAGTCTAGTCTAGTCTATAGTCTAGTCTATAGTCTAGTCTATAGTCTAGTCTATAGTCTAGTCTATAGTCTAGTCTATAGTCGAGTCTATAGTCTAGTCTATAGTCTAGTCTATAGTCTAGTCTATAGTCTAGTCTATAGTCTAGTCTATAGTCTAGTCTATAGTCTAGTCTATAGTCTAGTCTATAGTCTAGTCTATAGTCTAGTCTAGCTTATAGTCTGGTATATAGTTTAGTCTATAGTCTAGTCTTTAGTCTAGTCTATAGTCAAGTAAATAGTCAAGTCTATAGTCTAGTCTATAGTCTAGTCTATAGTCTAGTCTATAGTCTAATTTATAGTCTAGTCTATAGTCTAGTCTATAGTCTAGTCTATAGTCTAGTCTATAGTCTAGTCTATAGTCTAGTCTATAGTCTAGTTTATAGTCTAGTCTATAGTCTAGTTTATAGTCTAGTCTAACGTCTAGTCTATAATCTAGCCTATAGTCTTGGCTATAGTCTAGTCTATGGACTATTCTCCAGTCTAACTATTCTATAGTCTTGCCTCTAGTCTAGTATCTTGTATAGTCTCGACTGTAATATATTCTATACTTGGTATAGAAACTATGTTTAGAAGTGTTGACAAACATTTACCCTTGACTGTATTTCAAAATGCTTACACTCACACAAACTCACTTTTTTCAAAACATAAATCCAAATACAATCTCAAAAAATAGTATCGTTCAATTTGTGGTCAAGATTTACAAAAATAAAATTCTGTTGGATATTTTTTGTGAGCTCACACAATTCTTTTTGACTGCTCCAGAGAGCAACAAGTTCCTTTTCCCATTTAGTTACAATTTTGAATAAACGTTTTTACAGAAAATTAAAATAACTTATTTTTTTTTTAAATTATAAGTTAAACCTTAAAGTAAACCTTACTTACGATTTGTTAAAACAAATTTTCTTTAGCTAAATAATGGACACAAATGCTCTACAAGAATCCATGCAAATAAATCGAGAACCCAGAAGAAAGGAATTAATTTTGGAAGCTCGCCATTCGAGATGCATGTAAGTAGTGGAAACAAGTAGTTGTGGTGTTAGTTAAGATATCAATGTATGAAAAAATAAAATCGATAACCTCAGGGGTACAGTTTAAACTTCTATTAATAAATTGCAATTTGATTCTTACAACATTGTAGGCATAAATATTTAATAATAGCTTTTATTGCGGTCTTCAGTTTCAGTGAGCCTTAGTGTGTGGTCTAAGCTTGACATCTTGTGCGTTGGTTTTTAATTATTAATAATTTATTTTTAATATTACAACATTAAATAAAATTTATTGAATAATTAGGAATATTAGCATGAGCGAAATTGAAGTAATCATATTTGAAATAGAATGAGTCATTTGTAATCGGGATTTACATGTATGTGTAATATATTTATATACATTTATTGTTCTAAATAAAAATTAAAAATTTTAAGCGGTGTTTTCTGGGTAATCGCGGAAAAGCTCAAAAATATCTTGTTTTTTATTTAAAGCTGCTTAGCCGATCAGTTTTCTATAGAAAATCTTTTATTGATCAGTTATGTATGGTCCAGTTTACCATAGAAAAAATATTTATGGAAATATTTATTTCACAAAACGCAGACCAGTTTTCCGAAAAAACCTCTCCATCGATCACTAGATAGTTTCTTTAACGATCTTCATCTATCTGTTTTCTATTGACAAGTCTTCATTTCTCTTCTAGTCTATAGTCTAGTCTATAGTCTAGTCTATAGTCTAGTCTATACTATAGTCTAGTCTATAGTCTAGTCTATAGTCTAGTCTATAGTCTAGTCTATAGTCTAGTCTATAGTCTAGTCTATAGTCTAGTCTATAGTCTAGTCTATAGTCTAGTCTATAGTCTAGTCTATAGTCTAGTCTATAGTCTCGTCTATAGTCTAGTCTGTAGTCTAGTCTATAGTCTCGTCTATAGTCTAGTCTATAGTCTTGTCTATAGTCTAGTCTATAGTCTAGTCTATAGTCTTGTCTATAGTCTAGTCTATAGTCTAGTCTATAGTCTAGTCTATAGTCTAGTCTATAGTCTAGTCTATAGTCTAGTCTATAGTCTAGTCTATAGTCTAGTCTATAGTCTAGTCTATAGTCTAGTCTATAGTCTAGTCTATAGTCTAGTCTATAGTCTAGTCTATAGTCTAGTCTATAGTCTAGTCTTTAGTATAGTCTATATTCTAGTCTTTAGTATAGTCTATAGTCTAGTCTATAGACTATACTATAGTCTAGTCTAGTCTAGTCTAGTCTATAGTCTAGTCTATAGTCTAGTCTATAGTCTAGTCTATAGTCTAGTCTATAGTCTAGTCTATAGTCTAGTCTATAGTCTAGTCTATAGTCTAGTCTATAGTCTAGTCTATAGTCTAGTCTATAGTCTAGTCTATAGTCTAGTCTATAGTCTAGTCTATAGTCTAGTCTATAGTCTAGTCTATAGTCTGGTCTATAGTCTAGTCTATAGTCTAGTCTATAGTCTAGTCTATAGTCTAGTCTATAGTCTAGTCTATAGTCTAGTCTATAGTCTAGTCTATAGTCTAGTCTATAGTCTAGTCTATAGTCTAGTCTATAGTTTAGTCTATAGTCTGGTCTATAGTCTAGTCTGTAGTCTAGTCTATAGTCTTGTCTAAGTAGTCTATAGTCTAGTCTATAGTCTAGTCTATAGTCTAGTCTATATTCTAGTCTATAGTCTAGTCTATAGTCTAGTCTATAGTCTAGTCTATAGTCTAGTCTAGTAGTCTAGTCTAGTCTAAGTCTAGGCTATAATCTAGGCTATAGTCTAGTCTATAGTCTAGCCTATAGTCTAGTCTATAGTCTAGTATTTAGTCTAGTCTATAGTCTAGTCTATAGTCTAGTCTTTAGTCTAGTCTATAGTCTAGCCTATAGTGTAGTCTATAGTCTAGTATAAAACTAGTCTATTCTATTCTATTATCTAGTTTATAGTTAAGTCTATAATCTTGTCGGTAGATTAGATTCTGCTAGAGTAAGTCTTGTAGAGTAGGGCCCATGCCCAACATAGAGCAGTAGCTTAAAGCCTCTATACTTTTCCTCATGTTGTATCTTTTAATTGCAATTTCTTTACAGTGAAGCTTCCAATAAAATACGCTCAAAACTCAGTCCCAGACTCTTTATGCCGGTATGTTTTGAAAATCACACACCATCCCAATAAAACATGTATTAAAAATATAAAATTTTTTTTACCATTTTAGAGAGCCCCCATCTACCGTTATACAAACAAACTCAACATTGTACCAAAGAATTAAATCAAAATTTTTCAAAAGTCAAAATTTTAAAACTATTAATACAAATACAGACTTTGCCAAAGATTCCACAACGCAGAAAAGGTGCCAACGTATACAAAACTCGAAAATTTTGTAAAAAGATCCAGAGGAAAACATAGGAAAAGATCTTATAGGGACCAAAATTATAAGGCAATGGACAATATAACAGATCATAGTTTTAAAAAGCCCAAACAGGCGGATCTAAAAGAAGAGTAAGGAGAGTAAAACCGATAAGAATGCTGCTAAACGTTTAAGGAAACAACAGGGTCTAACAAAATCTAACTTGCAATGCAGTGAAAGCTCAAAAATCCATAACAAATTCTAAAGCTTTTAACAAGAAATCGAAAGAGGACGTTAAGGGAAAATGGGACAACTTAAAGGTTATAGGCAATGCTAATTCCACCGATAATACTAGATATATGACAGATGGAGAAATTGTTTTTATAAGAGATAAAGATCAGGGTAATTATATGAAATTTGGACAAATCTTGATTGAAATTTCTTATTTTTAATTATCAGGAAATATGGAACACTATAGCAGAGTTGAGAACAAGAAAACGGTAAAAACTTCGGGCACTTATAATTTTGGATCCAGTAATCAAGTACAAAGTAAATATTATGATCTTAACTGTCAGAGAACCGCAGATGAAAACCAAACCAAAGACTGCAGACATTGTAAGAGTCTCTACGATAAAAACTCGATACAAACCACTAGCATTAATAACCCAGATTTCAGTAACAATAACAGTGAAAATTCCCTCAAGAGTTCAGTACCAAGATCGGAATATAACTGCCAAAAGAGCAACATTTCAAGGGAACAAACCCCTAAAGAATCGATCACAACGATAACAGATTTACACAAGGAAAATAGTAAGGAATCAAACAGTGAAATGATTCCGAATTATCTTCGATTACAAGATAATGCTAAAGAATACCAAGCAGTTGAACATTATAGGGAATACATTGAGTGTGGAACCGGCCACAACAATCGCCAAATAATAACGAAAGTTTTCAATTACCCAGCCCCAACAAACTACTACGAAAGTCACGCCCCTTTTAAAGTCTACAACAATAACGATCCATAAACCCTATTTAACGCACAATAACTGTAGTTTTCAAGGCTCGATACCAGTTACTATGCATCCGAAATTTACCTTTAATAACTACAGAAGTTAATAAACCTCAAACCATTATAAATTTAAAAGATCAACTACAAACTAATCCTGAAACATTACAGTCGCCCTCGCTACAAACCTACAACTGAAACCGCCCCTATTCTTAAACCTTCCAAACCTATAACAATCTTTAAACCTTATCTAACAAACCCAGAAAACGAACAAACTTCCTCAGAATCCCTGACTATTCCAAACACCTCCTCCACTACCTTAACTTCCTCTCAAAACAATTTACCGTCCCCAGAAACTACTTCAACTCTAGATAACTCTCTACTACAACTTCCCCTTAACTCGTATCTTAATCGTGCCTCATCAGCAGTTGCCGATTTTCAAGACACCGTTCATGCTGCAATGTCTTCAATATATGATTGCTCACTCACCGATAAAAACATCCATGAAGACCTTGTTAATTTGGAAAATTCCGTAGATTCTTTTAATAAATTTCTACTACAATCCTATAATGATATGGAAATTATGGATTTGAAAACCTCAAATTGTTTGGAATATTTAAATAGCAAGAACCTCAATAGACGACTGCAGGATCAGCATTTAAGGTAAATCGTTTATTAGCAAACAAAAACTATATAAAGCAAATTTTTAATCATTCCTTTAATATCACCCCTTACAGGAATCTAATTTTTTAATTATATTAAAGAATTAGAAATAATCCCTTGCCTACCCCCTTGATTGGACCCTACCCTCAACTAGATTGTCGTGATCCATATACTTATGTCCTCCAAGTTTAAAAAAAAGCTGCTGCAGCCTGTCCAAATATTGCTCTTATTTTTTCTTAGTATTACTATATGTAGTTTTAGTTATCATTTAAATCATCTTCTTAACCCATAATGGGTTTTCCATAATAAACATTTGAAATCTTTATAGTTTTTCGATATATAAATAAAAATATCTCATTTCGGAAAACCATTTAATTACCTGGATCTCATCAAACTCCGAAAGTAACATTTTAACAAATTTAATAATCGATTATTTTCTATAGAAAACTTTATTATTTATAAGTTTTATATGAAACAAATATTTTTATATAAAAAAACTAGTTCAGTTCTAGTTCAGTTCTAGTTCAGTTCTAGTTCAGTTCTAGTTCAAGTTCAAGTTCAGTTCTAGTTCAGTTCTAGTTCAATTCTAGTTCAGTTCTAGTTCAGTTCTAGTTCAGTTCTAGTTCAGTTCTAGTTCAGTTCTAGTTCAGTTCTAGTTCAGTTCTAGTTCAGTTCTAGTTCAGTTCTAGTTCAGTTCTAGTTCAGTTCTAGTTCTAGTTCAGTTCTAGTTCAGTTCTAGTTCAGTTCTAGTTCAGTTCTAGTTCAGTTCTAGTTCAGTTCTAGTTCAGTTCTAGTTCAGTTCTAGTTCAGTTCTAGTTCAGTTCTAGTTCAGTTCTAGTTCAGTTCTAGTTCAGTTCTAGTTCAGTTCTAGTTCAGTTCTAGTTCAGTTCTAGTTCAGTTCTAGTTCAGTTCTAGTTCAGTTCTAGTTCAGTTCTAGTTCAGTTCTAGTTCAGTTCTAGTTCAGTTCTAGTTCAGTTCTAGTTCAGTTCTAGTTCAGTTCTAGTTCAGTTCTAGTTCAGTTCTAGTTCAGTTCTAGTTCAGTTCTAGTTCAGTTCTAGTTCAGTTCTAGTTCAGTTCTAGTTCAGATCTAGTTCAGTTCTAGTTCAGTTCTAGTTCAGTTCTAGTTCAGTTCTAGTTCAGTTCTAGTTCAGTTCTAGTTCAGTTCTAGTTCAGTTCTAGTTCAGTTCTAGTTCGTTCTAGTTCAGTTCTAGTTCAGTTCTAGTTCAGTTCTAGTTCAGTTCTAGTTCAGTTCTAGTTCAGTTCTTTCAGTTCTAGTTCAGTTCTAGTTCAGTTCTAGTTCAGTTCTAGTTCAGTTCTAGTTCAGTTCTAGTTCAGTTCTAGTTTAGTTCTAGTTCAGTTCTAGTTCAGTTCTAGTTCAGTTCTAGTTCAGTTCTAGTTCAGTTCTAGTTCAGTTCTAGTTCAGTTCTAGAGTTCTAGTTCAGTTCTAGTTCAGTTCTAGTTCAGTTCTAGTTCAGTTCTAGTTCAATTCTAGTTCGTTCTAGTTCAGTTCTAGTTCAGTTCTAGTTCAGTTCTAGTTCAGTTCTAGTTCAGTTCTAGTTCAGTTCTAGTTCAGTTCTAGTTCAGTTCTAGTTCAGTTCTAGTTCAGTTCTAGTTCAGTTTTAGTTCAGTTCTAGTTCAGTTCTAGTTCAGTTCTAGTTCAGTTCTAGTTCAGTTCTAGTTCAGTTCTAGTTCAGTTCTAGTTCAGTTCTAGTTCAGTTCTAGTTCAGTTCAGTTCTAGTTCAGTTCTAGTTCAGTTCTAGTTCAGTTCTAGTTCATTCTAGTTCAGTTCTAGTTCAGTTCTAGTTCAGTTCTAGTTCAGTTCTAGTTCAGTTCTAGTTCAGTTCTAGTTCAGTTTTAGTTCAGTTCTAGTTCAGTTCTAGTTCAGTTTCTAGTTCAGTTCTAGTTCAGTTCTAGTTCAGTTCTAGTTCAGTTCTAGTTCAGTTCTAGTTCAGTTCTAGTTCAGTTCTAGTTCAGTTCTAGTTCAGTTCTAGTTCAGTTCTAGTTCAGTTCTAGTTCAGTTCTAGTTCAGTTCTAGTTCAGTTCTAGTTCAGTTCTAGTTCAGTTCTAGTTCAGTTCTAGTTCAGTTCTAGTTCAGTTCTAGTTCAGTTCTAGTTCAGTTCTAGTTCAGATCTAGTTCAGTTCTAGTTCAGTTCTAGTTCAGTTCTAGTTCAGTTCTAGTTCAGTTCTAGTTCAGTTCTAGTTCAGTTCTAGTTCAGTTCTAGTTCAGTTCTAGTTCAGTTCTAGTTCAGTTCTAGTTCAGTTCTAGTTCAGTTCTAGTTCAGTTCTAGTTCAGTTCTAGTTCAGTTCTAGTTCAGTTCTAGTTCAGTTCTAGTTCAGTTCTAGTTCAGTTCTAGTTCAGTTCTAGTTCAGTTCTAGTTCAGTTCTAGTTCAGTTCTAGTTCAGTTCTAGTTCAGTTCTAGTTCAGTTCTAGTTCAGTTCTAGTTCAGTTCTAGTTCAGTTCTAGTTCAGTTCTAGTTCAGTTCTAGTTCAGTTCTAGTTCAGTTCTAGTTCAGTTCTAGTTCAGTTCTAGTTCAGTTCTAGTTCAGTTCTAGTTCAGTTCTAGTTCAGTTCTAGTTCAGTTCTAGTTCAGTTCTAGTTCAGTTCTAGTTCAGTTCTAGTTCAGTTCTAGTTCTCTAGTTCAGTTCTAGTTCAGTTCTAGTTCAGTTCTAGTTCAGTTCTAGTTCAGTTCTAGTTCAGTTCTAGTTCAGTTCTAGTTCAGTTCTAGTTCAGTTCTAGTTCAATTCTAGTTCAGTTCTAGTTCAGTTCTAGTTCAGTTCTAGTTCAGATCTAGTTCAGTTCTAGTTCAGTTCTAGTTCAGTCAGTTCTAGTTCAGTTCTAGATCTGTCAGTTCTAATTCTGTCAGTTTTAGCTTTCAGTTCTAGTTCTGTTCTAAGAGAAGATTTTTTATATAATAAAAAGTTTATAAATCTTTCATTCAAGGTCTCAAGATACGTCTTTAAACAAACCTCCCACAAACTCAACAGACCCACAGGAAACAGTAACAATACTAATAGAAGCGGATACGATGCCAAAAAAACGATCACGTTTAAAACATCCGATATACTATGTCCAAAATCAACTTTAAAGATATGCAATGTAGTTCCCTCCAAAAGTTCCAGTACCAGATAATAGTGGAAATCTAAAAGGGAAAAATTCAGATGTGTCAATAGTTTCCGATATAAAATTAACCGATAATGATATACTTAAACAAATATGGCCTAATCTTAACAAAGAATCTGTCGACAGTTTTAAACACTCAAATTTGGAATCTTATATAGGTCCTACTTTTAAAGATAGTCCAATAACTTCTTTGCAAACATTTGTAGATGAAGCAATGCATAGGTCTGTCTATAAGAATACATCGGAAAGTTCGTTTGATTTGAATAGAGAAGCTATATCAAAGGAAATAGATGGTTTCAATGCATATCGTTCAATTCCTGAGCAGAATTTGGATCTAAACTGTCCCCTGAAACAAACATTCGAAGAGGATCAAGATCAACAGTGTAGATTAAAACACATAAGAAGAAAATTAACTCCAAGGAAAACATGTAAAGAATCTTTAAGGATATCAGGTTCAAAGAGACAAAGGCTGGGAAGTGACTTAACTCAACACGATGTCAGCATTTTCAAGGACACCCAAAATAGGTCAAGCGACCAAATTTCAACAACTTCAAATACATCTACAACCAATCTATATAGTCTTATATATACCCAAGCACAAACAAATTGCACATCATTTGCAACTTATAATCCTTTACGTTTATATAGAATTCCTAATCATCATAATCATCTGCACAAATCAATAACGAGTCAAGCATCAATCGCAAATTCGGTTACCTTAACAAATTCTTATAATTACACTCGAGTAACTGAAAATTCCCCTGCCGAGCTAATACCTTCACAATATTCCCAAATTTATAGACCTTATTTGTATCCCTACAATCTACATCAAAACCGAGAGCATCAAGTGCCAAATGATAATCTATTAATACCCGCAAAGCAATATTGCTCACATAACTCCTTTCTTAGTAGAGAGAGTAGATCTTTTGAAATTCCTCATAAATCTGCATATCCAAAAAGTGTTCTAAATATGAGCTATTTACCAAATCCCTATAGTTATCATCATTATCCCGATTTAGCGCCATATAATAGGCAATTTCCAGCTGCATATTTTCCTTCACCCAGAGATTTTGCCGCAAGACATCATTCGTTATATAATACAAGTCCCCTAATACCACCTGAGCCCCTAAAACATTTTCTTAGTTCAAAATTTCAAAATCCAAATGATTAGTTAAGTCTTATGTTCAAGAAGTCCACTGCCTATAGCATGTATCATGTTTTAAACTTACTGCCATTATCGTCTGATATACTATAAAGAAATACGGTACCAATAATGCAAAAGACTTCTTAAATATAAGCAGTTACGTCAAGGCTAAACTCCTCTGTGATATTTTCAACTCTGTTATTATCGAGATTTTTACTATATTTCGCTTTTTTTTATTATTTTTGGACCTCTTTAAGGTTTTAACAAATATCTATTATTTCTACTGATTAGGTCCAACATTTTCTATATGAATCGTACCGGATGCATTTTTTCATAGAAAACAATTTAATTTAGATTCCTGATCTTTAAATGTTATCAATTTTCTATAAAACCTATAGAAAACTTTATGCAAGATCAATTTTCTATACAAAACTTTATTCACTCTGTAACGAATAGTTTTTTATTAGAAAACTTCTAAGTTGATCAGTATTCTATAGCAAACTGCATTAACAATTCGATTTCTATAGAATTCTTCATAAACGATCAGTATTTCATAGAAAACTTCAGTATCGCTCGGTTTTCTATAGAATTCTTCATTAACGATCAGTATTTTAAAGAAAACTTCATTATTGATAGGCTTTCTATAGAATTCTTCAGTAATGATCTGCATTTTATAGAAAAGTTCATTATCGCTCGGCTTTCTATAGAACCCTTCATTAACAATCAATATTTTATAGAAACTTCCTGAAAGATCAGTAAGAAAAAGTCATAAACGATAACTTTCCTCCAGAACTATTCACAAACGATCAGCATTGAATAGAAAACTTTATTAATGAATGTTTTCATTTAGAACTATTCATCCACGTTAAATATTCTTTGGAAGAAAACTTGATCAACGATCAGTTTTCTATAGAAAACTTATCAACGATCATTTTTTATAGAAAACTTGTTCAATGACAGTTTTCTATGGAATTCTTCAACCATCAGTTTTTTTTAAGAAATCTATTTCAGTGGCCTCAAGTAGGTTAGTGTTCTGGCTGGTAGACCGGAGGTGATGGGTTCGATGCCCACCTGAGGCAC